ATATATATATATATTTACATTTAGTAACTTAGCAGACGCTTTTATCCAAAGCGACTTCCAACTGAGCACAAGGAAGCAATTTACACAACTATAAGAGCAACAATAAATAAGTGCTGTAGGCAAGTTTCAGGTGTGTAAAGTGTAAGAAGGAAAACATTAACATTTTGTAATTTTTTTTTTCTGTAATAGTTAGCGGTGAAGCCAGAGAGGCAATTGCAGATTAGGAAGGAAAGTGCAGACTGAATAGTTGAGTTTTTAGTCGTTTCTTGAAGACAGCGAGTGACTCTGCCGTTCTGATGCAGTTTTATATATATATATATATATATATATATATATATATATATATATATATATATATATATATATATATATATGTCACTAACCTGAGGTTCTCGACCCTCAAAAATGGAGAGTAGTGCATTACATTACATTTCCCCGCCATGTCTTTATAATATGAGCAGTTATTTAACCCCAGTATATTCAATGAAGCTTCTGCGCCTGCCGATTCTGACGGGTGCATGCGAGTAACGGCTTTCATCTTGTTTTAGGGTTGAGCAATTCCATGAATGCTGAAGTCTGCTTAACTGACTGTGTTTTAATGACATTACAGCATCAGAAAGAAAGAAGTTCACTTACAGTTTATCAGTATGGGAAGAAACACTAGCTCTGCATATACCCTATTCTCACGGTCTACTCAGATGGGATGGTGGGCCAAATCAAAGATTTCAGTGGGCCAACTTTGACCCGAGGGCCCTACTTTGGGCTAGAGGAGACGAGTGTGCACGTGGATGCTTTCATTGTAAAAAGCCTTTATAAAGGGCATCAGTGTGAGCAGGGCTATAGTGTGCTGCAGTGTTAACAGCATTTAGACAGTATTCTGATGCATCGTCACGACATTTTATTTATATTAGTAATTAGTTTATTCTTGGGTAGGTGAGATGTTCAATCAGCTGATCAGAAATCAGACTATATGGCAATGGAACAAGCACCCAGGTTTATTAAAGGGCTCTTACCAAACACAAAAGCATCTATATCATTGCAAGGAAGAATACCGCCTGCCATTTCATTTTGGCAGCAGCTTGTTTGCACCAAATTGAATAGATGGAAATTACATTAACTGCACAACATAACTAGAGGCGTCAGGCTGCGTGTAAAGGGCTGTATTTTCTTAGCATCATGCTGTTTACACTAAATCTTAATTGACATGTTCTGTTCAAACTAAAGGTTGAAGTACAGTAGTTTTATCAGCAGTAAGTTGATTTATGCATGGTGGAAGCTGTGGCCAGTATTTGCACCTCAGTGTAAAATGTGCATTATGAAATCTGCAATGTCATATTCAGTGTCAATTTTAATATTTATTAAGTGAATGCCGGCTTATTGACTCAATAAACTCCTATTTACCGCGAGTCCTTCCTATAAACACTGTTATTAAATGGCTTGTGATGAGATAAATAGACTGTGTTTATTTATTGCAGAAGATGCAGCATTGTCACAGTTTGTTGATGATCACCGTTTCTCCTCTGTTTTGTGTGTTTGCATTATCTTTGTGTTGTGTGTATATTTAATGTTGTGAAGTCAGCATTATCGGGGGTTTTGATGGTGTTTTTGTGATTGCAGGAGGAGACCGCTGGTAGCTTGAGTAGTTTAGAAGCATTTAGCCCCTGTTCTGATTCTGGAGGACAGCAGCGTGGCGTTAACCTGCTCGGAGAAAAGACCATTCCATGGGTACTAATACCCATCACAGGTAAAGTCCGAGATTAATATATTATAAACTGAACAAATCAGAAATACTCTAAACTGTAATAATAAGCTGTTTATCATCATACGTCATTCATCATTTACAGCAGACGGAAACCAAAACTCTCATTCACTGTAGCAAACATACATCTTTATAACAACACAACACTGTTGAAGAGTCGCAGGACAGCCCCAAACTGCACCCAATTGTCTTCTTCTTTAATTTTTGCTATTATCATACCAACAACTAGTTCTTAGTTCTTACTAGTTCTAGGTACATCAGAATAAGTATTTTGTTTAATTTTTTTATGCAACAATGCCTTTGTTATATCTGAATGATAATGAAAATAAAGTCATCTTAAATTCAAATTATTTTTGCAAAAATAGGATTGAAACAACATTTAACTTTAAAGGGCCATGAAACCCCCTCGTTTCAGCAGGGTGTTTTCACACCTCTACTTCGGAAAAAGTCAGAAAAGTGGGCGTGTCCAGCTCTATTTAGGGGGGAGTGTCGGAGGAACTAAAGTGGGATGGTGTGGGAGTGTCTATTTGGGCACGCGCGAGTTTCAGTCAAAATACACACACGAGAAAGTGATGGTGTATTTTTTACAGTCATTGTGTTTAACCTACATGGACATCTGTAGTTGAATTATTTGCCAGATTATTAAATGTTGGACTTTAACTGCAGTTTGGCTCTTTCATTCAGGGAATTCATTCATGCCCCTCGCGACAAACGCGATATTTGATTCGAGGAACTGCTCTAAGCGTGTATTTTTCATGCAATGTTTGATACCGCACGGCGAATGAGAGAAAAAAGCTCCGCAATTCCCGGAAACTTAGATGCTCACGGCAGATAGCGTCAGAAAGCCGCGTGTGTTATTCCGGTCACAAAATGCGGTGCTAACAAGTTTGCACTCAGTGCAATAGTTAACTTAATTCGATACGAACAAACTGAATAAACAAAGAGCACTGGTCGCTCACTTACCAAATCTGTAGAGACAGGACAATCACCAGCAACTAGAGCCGCGTCTTTATGAAGAGAAGACTACAAGCTAATCCGGATTTCAGCGTTTGCAGATGAGAACAGCTCTCAGGTAAACAATAATCCTCCTTGGACACGTAAATTATTGTTGTCGAGCGTCGCGTACACTGTTAATCCACGCGTGACTCTGAGCTCTCACAGAGAGAAAATGAAAACGAAACTTAATGGCAGCAAACTATAAAAGCAACACTCCACGCTTGTTTTGCCAACACAACGTGGCGTCTGTGGTGTAAACAGTGACACTAATGAATATTAATGAAGTTGCAGAATAGAGCGCGCTGATTGGTTTGACCCAAGCTTTACTCATGCATTAATGCATCACACTGTAAGACGTAATAAGACTCACTCTGGCACAGACGCCCAGTCTGCACGCTGGAATACACACTATTATGTCATGACCGTGACGCAACTTCAAAAATTCGTTTCAAACAGGAAGTACGAATTTGCTTGAAATAACGCAAAAACAACCGATTTACACTTTTGAGTGAAATATAGGTGTCCTAATAGTGTTTTTAGCAGTGTGGGACACATATACCACTGGCAACAGCTCAACACATGTGTTCTGGTGTTTCGTGACCCTTTAAAAGCTTTCTGATTCATTCATTCATTCATTCATTCATTCATTCATTCATTCATTCATTCATTTATTTTCTTTTCGGCTGGAATCGCCACAGAGATATGAACTGGCATCTTATTCAGCATGTTTTTCGTGGCGGATGCTCTTCCGGCTGCAGTCTATCACTGTAAACCCATACACACTCATTCATTCACACACACTCATACACTATGGACAATTTTGGCTCACTCAATTCACCTGTACCGCATGTCTTTGGACTTGTGGAGGGAACCCACGGACACAAATAACTTCACAAATGGAAAAGAATTAAAGGATTAAAATTTGACAAAACATATTATTTCGCAGCCTACATAAATGTAACCCCCCCACCTCCATGCCTTCTTCCTCTCAGGGGGCTGTTTTAGTTTATTGATGACAATTTGCTTTTGTATAATGTGATCATTATTAGCAGTATTATTGATTATCTGCATATTTATATTAGTTTTATTAAACACAGGCTTAGATTTGTCCATCTGTCAGCTTTTAGACCATATGGGGTGCAGCATGTGTGTAAGTAAAGGTAAAGAGGCTGAATGGAGGAGGCTCATTCTTTATCGTCGCGCTGCAGATGCTCTGTTTAACTGTGTTTTCGCTAGTGAAGTGTTCAGTTTTTACACTTATAAAGTCCAACATGTAAAGAGCAAATGCACCATGGAGCGACGGAACTGACTCTTGAAGAGTTTGAGAGAGGAGACTCTGATTGGTTTAATGCAGGTTATGCTCAAAACACAATTCAAACAGTCTAGTAACACACCAGATTAGATAAAGAAAAACCTCTGGAAATCAGGTTACCTGACTGCCTGTGGTTTCAACCAGGTCCGGTGCTGACGTAATAGGGGCGGGTACTTTCACTTTTCACCGCTACACCCCCTCACCTCTGCTCGTGGTCAAACCAAACTGAGATCAGCGCGGGGTTTCACATGGCAGGTTTTATCCTTCATACATGTTGAGAGATCGAGTTGATCGACCTGATAAGAGAATATGTTTGGCATAACCCACACAGAATTTACTTAGTGAAGTGTGAAGTCCTGTATGACTTTAATCGCTGCATTAGTCTGAATGTAAATCCCCTCATCAGGCAGCGCTGGAGCAGCGTGAGACAAACGAGAGGTATTAAAATAAGAAAAATACACAACAGAAGACACTTAAATGCCTGTGTTTGTTGTAATTGCAGCATTTTTGTGATGCTCATCCACAACTTCATGCATTGGGTGAAATTAGGCTGTCCAGTCTCTGTGTTCAGTCTGTTGCAATCATGGTGAAAACCCAAAGCGCATCAAAAGATCGGTAGTTAAAAGGGGAAAAAAAGAAAAATAGAATAAATATCTATACTTTTATATTAGACACACATCTGATGCTTGTATTTGCTGCAGCTCCACGTCTACAACTTCACACATTGGGCTAACTGTATCTGTTCAGCCGAGGGAACTCAACCAACCCCGTGACGTCAGACACAGCGACATTACAAGATGACGGCGCCCTAGGTCTAAAATCTATAGTAAAACACGGCGTTTACTGCTAAATGCTTACGTTAATCGAGTTTGTTCAATATATTTTTAGTAAAGTGGAATCCAATGTACCAAACAAGGTAAACTTGACTGAGTGCTTCACTTCCCCTTTAAAGGGAATGAGAGACGAGACTCTGATTGGTTTAATGCAAGTTAACACACCCAGAACTCTGTTAGCCCTGTAAGACCATGCGCCATGCGCAGAGAGGATTCTCTCATCCTTAAAATTGTAAAAGTGTATTCAGACACGTCGTGAGCTTCAGACTTTGCGCCTAGATCATTAATATAGATTCTTCAGTCTCGCAACAATTTTGAAAACCTTTTTTTGCTGCACTTAAAATGTTGATGACTATATATTATATAAAATCTCAGCACACATCTTTATAGCTGACATAAATGTACTGTAAAATATCGTTGATTTGCTTAGGTCTGAAAACCGAGAGATATTCCCAAAGAAAGAAGGACTATCCTGAAGACCCACGCTTCCTTCAGAGCCCCACGGTATCGACACACAACACACCTGACATTAAGGATCTGTCTCCCACTTACCAGCCTGACAGCAGCAACACCGTAGCGGATCTGGATGTGCAAACTACGGCAGAGGTTGAGGACGATGAGCCTGTAACCCCTTCAGTCAACACTTCGACTGAAGCTCCTGCAGATGCAGCCGCATCATTGATTGGTGTTGATCACATCGTCGATGAGCTCATCTCTGGATTCTCCAGTGAGGTCGAGCAGATCCTGAGGGGCAATAACATTTCTTATGTGTCATGCTTAAACAATCAGAGCACACGAGAACCCCCTCAGGCTCCGGTTCCGCCTCTTTCTGATTACATTTCGAACTTTACCACTCCCTTTCCTGTCGGTACCTACGTCAGCTCTTTGCATGATAGCATGATGAGGTTCATTCATGGAAATCAACACCAGGAAGCACAAGAAGATGTGTCGTCTTCCTCTCAACCTACAGAAGATCCTTCAGAAGTCCCTGATACTTCCTCCAGCGTGTGTGCTTCCTCATCCTCAACCACTAAACCCAGCAAAAGCTTCGAGCGCCACCTGACACCATGTTTGCCTTCCAGTGCGCTCCCCGAGCCAGCAACTCAAGCACAGCGTCAGTCAGGTTTGGCTGATGCCCACAAACTGCCCCAAAAGCTTTGGCCATTAGAGCAGGACTCAGTGGCCCAGCAGATTACCGAAGCAAGCACCATGGATGATCGACACCGAGGCTCACATGAGGTCAGTGGTAGTTCAGTTGCGGAGACTACGGAAGCTGATGAGGGTCAAACGTCATGCTCAGCTGTCCCTGCTGAAGACACCTCGGTGGACCACACGCATTCGGCTATCAGCAGCATCATCCATCAGCTGCAGCCTGAGATGATCACTAACCTGGTGGAGATCCTTAAAGGAGTGCAGAAGAACTCGGTTTACTTCTACATCCATTCCCTGGAGGAGGAGAGTGACGTCTGCTGGGAAATAAAGGTAATGTTTATTTTTATTATGATTTATTATTGCTTTACATGCAAGTTCAGACTAAACATTACCAAAAGTTAATGCTAAATTAATTTGTATAGAGGTTTTTCTTTAATCTAGGTTTATCTCACTGTAATTAATCCAGATTAAAATGGCTGATTTGAATTCTGCTGAAGGCTTTCAGAATGAGTGTGCTACCCGTATAATTAGTCTTCGAGAACAGGCTTCTCCAGCCAGGTGGAGCATTAGACCAGGGGCTCATCTCCTGTTCCCAAAATGCATCACAAACTGCTTAAGGCCAGCAGGGGGCGCCCAAACTGTGGTCTGTGTGGGTCCTAATGCCCCAGTATAGTGACAGGGACTCTATACTGCTCAGTGAGCGCCGTCTTTCAGATGAGACGTTAAACCGAGCTCCTGACTCTCTGTGGTCGGTAAAAATCCCAGGATGTCCTTCGAAATAGAGTAGGGGTTTAACCCTGGCATCCTGGCCAAATCTGCCCACTGGCCTCTGTCCATCATGGCCTCCCAACCCTCCCCATATCATCATTGGCTTCATCTCCACCAATCAGCTGCTGTGTGGTGTGTGTTCTGCCGTCACCTCATCCAGGTGGATGCTGCACACTGCTGCTGGATGAGGAGATCCCCCCCATTGTGTAAAAGCGCTTTGACTGCCCAGAAAAGCACTATATAAATGTAAGGAATTAGTAAGGCTGCTCGATTTTGGGAAAAATCATAATCACGATTATTTTGTTCATAATTGGAATCATCATTATTCCAATCGATTATTAGTTGAAGTCAAAATTATTAGCACTCCTGATAATTTTAAAAAAATAAATATTTCCCTAATGTTGTTTAACAGAGCAAGGAAGTTTAACAGTGTTTCCTCTAATGTTTGTTCTTCTGGAGAAAGGCTTGTTTGTTTTATTTTGGCTAGAATAAAAGCAAATTTAAATATTTTGAAACCTCTTTTAAGGTAAATATTATTCGCCCCTTTAGTCAATATATATCTTTGATTGTCTGCAGAAGAAACTACTGTTATATAATGACTTGCCTAATTACCCTAATTAAGCATTTGAATCACACTTTTGAATTTGAATGTTTGTACTTAAAAAAATATCTACTAAAATATTATGCGCTGTCATCATAGCAAAGATAAAATGAATCGGTTATTAGAAATGAATGATTATTATGTTCAGAAATCTTCTTTCCATTAAACAGAAATTGGGGGAAAGGTTGCTAATATTCAGGAGGGCTAATAATTCTGACTTCAACTGCATATATTATTTTCCTCCCTGCAAAGGAAAGAGAAATAAATACAATAGAATAAAAACATGAAACAAACTGTGCTTTCAGCATCTTCACCGTAAGAAAAACACTTCAGCTACAAAAGTCTTCAGTCAAGAGCAGAGAGGGATTTTCTCGTTGTTTTATTAATCATGATGAAACAGGCGGCAGCAGTGCTCTGTCACTTTAATGGTTTCGCTTTCTCCTGTTTTTTGATTCTCAACTCGTTTGTTTATTACTAAATGAGGGTTAATATGAATAGTCACTAAACACTGCGTTTTGACACATATTTGAACATTAAAGTGCTCACGTTAATGACTTTAGATGTGTGCGCTCTGCTCGTCACAATGTGCGAATGAGACCAAGTGCAGACCGCATGCTTCTGACAGTCTGCGCGCCGCACACACATAAACATGCAGTCTTTCGCGCTTGTAAGAGCAACAAGTGAGGACAACTGGACAGGGGGCGCTAAATAATGGAATAATCGTTTATCTCGATTAATGGTTTTTCATAATCGTTAGAAGCCATAATCGAAATCGAAATCGTATTTTCAATTAATTGCACAGCCCTAGGAATTATTATTATTATTATTATTATTAAAGCTTTACATACATGTACATGATTAGAGTTGCTCGTTTTGATAAATTATCGTGGCTGAGAAATCACAAAATTTCTACATGTTTAATGGCGCAAGTAAAGGTCTTCTACACTGGCTATGAGGAAGAATTCATATTGGTCCTAAAAAGGTCTTTAAAAGTATTACATCTGCAGAAACTCCCTATGAAGATGAAGAATGTCAAGATGGTTTGTTCATGCTGTTTGTATATGATTAAGAGCTGTCTTTCTTCATGTCTGAACACAGGACATGTTAGCCGTACAGTTCAGTAAACGTGTCAAATAAAAAGTGAAACGACTGATAAAGTCAGTGACCCCTTATTATTTTAACATCTGACTTCAAACTATCAAACCGCGTAAATATATTTATTGTTGCTAAAAAAATAAACATTTTTTACAGCATATTTGTCAGCTACACATTGCTACAAGTGGCCGTTGTGTTATTTGACTTTTGTAACAGGAATACTTGAAGAAGCTGGGAGATCTGGAGTGTGACCCTCATGGCTTCCTTGAAAAAACCAGCACTCAGGATAAACTACTGGTCATCATTCAGAACATGGACATCGCTGCACAGGTCCACAAGGTAAATCACTGCTCAGCGCTTCACTCCTCACAGAAAGTGTTTAATTACATTACTTGGAAGAAAAATAGAGAATGGTGTATCATGACTAGGTATACAGGTTAGGTGTTTTTATTTTTATTTATTTATTTTGTGGAGCTCATGATGGAGTCAGACACAATCTTCATTCTGTCTCCACTGCAGCAGGACTTTATATTCTATACTGGACATTATTTCTGTTCAGTGATGACACTTTAGTCTGAGCAGAGTCAGAGCGCACTGTCCTCATCAAATCAGTCAACATCAACACATGATCAGATTTATTGAGCTCAAACCAGCAAAATCTAGAGGCCTTCACCTTTCATAGACACACTTCATCATCAAATCAGCAACTAGAAGAGCAGATATTACTTGTGTTCCTAAAACTTGCATAGGCGGCAAGGCTTCAGTCAGGTAGTGTAGGATGTACAATAATACACATTTAATATAATAAGCATATACTGAGATGATAATCATAATAAAAAAGCTTTATATTTTAAATATGAATCATTAATCAAGTTTATATGTTTGTTCTTTATTTATAAAGTCTACATTCCTTTAATAGAGTCAAGAATCAAGTCCTGTGCATGTGACGCTCTCTCTGTTCAGCAGGTCAGTGTGGTTTGCTTGCTCTTGACGTTGTGTTTTACACCCATAGATACCTTCATTAGTTTCCTTGAAGAAGCATCCGTCTGTGAGCTTTGCTGGTGTAGACAACCTGAGTGACATCCAGAACCACACATACAATGAGCTCTTTCAGGCCGGAGGATTTATTGTGTCAGATGAGGATGTCCTGAATCCGTCCGTCATTACAGCAGGTAACCTGATTATCCAGTCTGGTGTATTACTAAGATCAGGTTTGATCTGCGAACACGTTTCAGCAAGGCTTTGTCTCTGTCTTCAGAAAAACTTCAAGACATCCTCGAGTGCATTGAGCAGCTCAGTTCTCCTCAGAGCCCCTGGAGGTGGAGGGTTCACTTCAAATCTCACAAGAAGCTGCGAGAGCAGAGCAGGTTTGCCACCACTAAACTCTCATCCCAAAGACAAACTGATGCTGTATCGGCTGCAAAAGGATTCCCTACACCACGCGTGTCCAAGCTCGGTCCTGGAGGGCCGGTGTCCTGCAGAGTTTACTTCCAACCTAATCAGACACACCTGGGCTAGCTAATCAAGCTCTTACTAGGCTTTCTAGAAACATCAGCGCAGGTGTGTTGAGGCAAGCTGGAGCTAAACTCTGCAGGACACCGGCCCTCCAGGACTGAGCTTGGACACCCCTGACCTGCAGCATGCTATTGAATTAGTGGTCTAAAACCAGGCGTTTCAGTTTCATTGTCCAACCGCTGTGTAAAGCAGTACAGCCCTCACAGATCTCGACTAACTAACAAAATAACTTGAGTAATATCTTACACAACTATCATATTTCCTAAACACACACACACACACACACACACACAGTTATCTATAGGGAATGCACCACTCACTGTGGCTGTTTTGTTTGTTGTTCCTCCAGACTCAAAAGCGAGGCTCTGAAGCTGTACGAGATCCTCCGCGAATATGAGAAGAGGCATATCGTTGAGATTCTGTCGTACCATGACTGTGACTCTCCATCACACCGAGCACCTGACCTTGGTTGCCTTGTGGACCTGCAGGCACGATTCATCAAACAACGACATCTGATCTTTCTAACAGGTGCTCTGAGATGCAGTGATCTTGCTCAGCATACAGTATAACGTGCAGCCTTACAGCCTATTGCCTACATTTAGCAACGACATTGACACTCAGTGAGGCAGTGTTTGCCAGTGTTCGGAATGAATAAGGCTGTAGTTAGTTGGCTGTCTTAACTAATGCTGGTTTAATTCTGCCCCACAGGCTTCCAGTTCGAGATGTTCCCTCATTACTCCAGCAGTGGAGTCGTCATTGCTAATGTTGATGACGTAAAGTTTGTAATAAGCTCTTTAGCCAGTGGAGAAAACGTGGACGACACTCCGTCTGCTGACCTGTACCCTGCTCCTGCTCCTGCTCCAGCGTCATGTAAGTGATCAGTGTAAACCACCTGACAGCATCCACAAGTGCACGTCTAACTCTCACTGTGATTATACTGGGAATCTGCTGCCTCCGCCATCCCTCCATGTCTTCTGAACACTCTTAATTATTCACCATAGAGGAACAGCCAGCTAAAACTCTGCGAGACACATTCAGAATAGAGAATAACCGCAGCAGACGGAGCAGGTTAAGAGGTAGTGAACTAAAGACAAAGAGGCTTTACGTTATGAGACCATACAGAAGGAGGAGGCTGTAAAATCTACAGGCAAAGCCTTTACGTCTGAAATGGGGGAAGCGCATGGAGGAACAGCCGCTCCAAGTGTTGCGGGATCAACAGATCTGTTGTAGAAACTGAACACAGACACTGCTCCTGGAGACTGTGTTTGTGATCAGGGTCTGGTATAGAGCCACGCTCGCCTATAAACGGCCATCTTAATGTACTGTTCACCCGTTTTCTATCAGATGTCTATTTTGTCCTAATAATAATGTCATTATTTATCACTGTTTCCACGTGAGATGTGCAGGTCAGCAGCAAAATGTGATCATCCTAGATATATTATTGAAGACGAGCGCTTGATTTGCATGGTGCGCAGGACTGTGGGCATTTCAGACCTGTAGATGGTCGACTGTGTTCAGGAAGTGAATCATGACGATGTTTCAGACACTCTGAGCTGCAGATGTGTTGTGTGCTTACATGTTTTCTGTGCAGACACGTCTTCTGACTAAATCAGCAAGTTTAGGTTGACCGATTCGGTTGAGATCATCAATGTTAAAGTAACTGTGCGGCTGGATTTTTTGACGTTTATCAGTCGTGGATGTGGAACAGCGTTTGGCTTTGAGTCTTTGTTTTTCATCCATTTTCTATATCCTCTCCGTATTTCACTGTTGTGCTGTTTTCCTCCATTATAACCACATTTTTATCACAAAGCCATCATCTGATCAGGCATTTTTGATTGTTGCTGGTTTTCTCTCTTGGGTCATCAGCTGGCACTGTTAACCCTTCAGATGTGGAGATACAGGCTTAATCTCTGGGTTTAATATGGAGTATAACAGCAAACTAAAGTGTGTGTCTGAGTGTGTGAGAGTAACCTTTATACACTCACCTTGACGAGGCTGAGAAAATCCAAATATGCATCTCCGCTCTCACAACTACATGGAGTAAACAAAAGCAAAGACTGTGCATGTACTGTATACACCATCAAATGTGCTTATAATGGAGGTCAATCAGGCAAAAACAGCCAGCAGCAGAACATCAGGGAGAAAAACTGAGAATCTAACAAAGCATCAGAGCCGATGTTGTGAATAATCTCACACACGTCCAAGACTGAGCTTAAAACATACCGTCCACAATTACTTTTCATTTGAAAACTCGTCATTTTGGGTGTTTTTTTCCCACCAAATCGCTTACCTCATTTATGAGTTTGGTCATTAAAGAGTTAAAATGCTGTATTTTTCTAAACTATTTAATAGTTTTGATCAGGACGGAGGTTGATTAACGATTTATGCAAAATCTGAAAAAAAATGGAGCCAGATCAGTCTCAAAAATAATATATTTATAAAGTAAAGTTTATACATGCTCAACAACATGCTTATACATGCTTATACAACACAATTCACGTTTACGAAATCCAATTCGTAACATTAAAACGTGATTTAAAAATATGCAAATCCAATTCGTAAAGTCAAAACGTGATTCAAAAATACGAAAATAAAAATTCGTAAAATCAAAATGTGATTTAAAAATACGCAAATCCAATTTGTAAAGTTAAAACACGATTCAAAAATACGAAAATCCAATTTGTAAAGTTAAAACTTGATTTAAAAATATGCAAATCCAATTCTCAAAAACAAAACATCAATAAAAAATATGCAAATCCAATTCGTAAAGTCAAAACGTGATTCAAAAATACGAAAATCCAATTCGTAAAGTAAAAACGTGATTCAAAAATACAAAAATAAAAATTCGTAAGATCAAAACGTGATTTAAAAATACAAAAATCCAATTTGTAAAGTCAAAATGTGATTCAAAAATACGCAAATCCAATTTGTAAAATCAAAACGTGATTCAAAAATACGCAAATCCAATTCGTTAAGTCAAAACATGATTCAAAAATACACAAATCCAATTTGTAAAATCAAAACGTGATTCAAAAATACGCAAATCCAATTCGTAAAGTCAAAACGTGATTCAAAAATACGAAAATAAAAATTCGTAAAATCAAAACACGATTTAAAACTACACATCTAAATTGTAATTTCAAAAAAGATTTGAAAATACACGTTTTATTTGTAAATTCAAAATACGAATCTAAAATAGAAAAACCTTAATTAAAAAATTCAAAAAAGATTTGAAAATATGCAAATCCAATTCGTGAACTCGAAACACAATTCAGAAACACGCTAATTCAGTTCATCAATTTAAAACAAGATTTAAAAATACATCCACTTCATAAATTACAAAAAAATTAAAATTTGCAAATTCAATTTGTAATTTTTATATATTTTTTTTAAGTTTAAAATATGCAAATCCAACTTGTAAATTAAAAAAATGATTCAAAAATGCGCAGATCTAATTGATTTGGTGAAAATATTTCTGATCTTCTTTACAGATGTGCAAGGTGTATGTTGTAAGTGTGTTAGTTCTGAGACTGCTCTGGCTCTGTAGTTTAGTGGATCATTTCATCAGTAACATGACGAGCCTGATGCTCACTGATGTTCAATACTCTTCAGGTGTTTTTGGATGATGGATTATGCTGCCGTTCCTCAGGTCACCCAGCACCTTTATTCTGTTCTCTTTCTGTAAGCTTCAGCTGGTGTACAGAGCGTCCTCACACAACTGTTCAATCTCTGAAACACGCTCGTGTGTGTGTGTGTGTGTGTTTAGTGTTTCTGTGACCACAACTCCCATATAAAGCACTGATATGTGTACACACATGACATGATCGGACTCCTGATCTTTGCTGTATGGAGTTTATTGTAAATTAATATTATAGATTTGTATGAATCTGAAGCTGAACTTAGTTGTGCAATAAACTGAACAGCTATTGAGTAATAAACATGTTTCAAAAGCAGACACACTGATCAACTCGCAGATTCTGCTGTCTTTGGAAAATGTCTAAAATACTGAACAGCTGAAGGCAGAATTATTCACCCCCTGTTTATTATTCCCTCAGTTTCTGTGTAGCGGAGAGCAGATTTCTCCAGCACATGTCTGCACATAACAGTGTTAATAACTCATCTCTAATAACTGATTTATTTCCTCTTTGTCATGATGACAGTAAATAAAATTAGACTAGATATTCTTCAAGACACTTCTATACAGCTTAAAGTGACATGTAAAGGCTTCACTAGGGTAATTAGGGTAACTAGGCAGGTTAGGGTAATTAGGCAAGTTATTGTATAACGATGGTTTGTTCTGTAGACTATCCAAAACAAATATAGCTTAAAGGGGTGAATAATATTGAGCTTAAAATGCTGTTTAAACTATTAAAAACTGCTTTTATTCTAGCCCAAATAAAACAAATCAGACTTTCTCCAGAAGAACAAACATTATCAGACACACTGTGAACATTTCCTCAATCTGCTCAACACCATCTGGAGAATATTTAAATAAAACAGAGTGTGAATAATTGTGAGTTCAGCTGTGAATCCTCAGCTTGGCGTGTGCATCAGGGCATCAGCATTCTCTGTATTCATCTTCTGCAGTGTGATGAGCATGACCGTTTGTCTCTGTAATGCTGTTGTAGAGATGCTGAACCTCTCTTGTAACTGTTGTTTTTGGGCTCAGTTTGGGAGTTTCCCGGTGTTGAACCGTTTCATTGATCGCCTGTAACATTTCTCTTGTGCCTGTAGTGGGAGAGGATAGCATGTCTCTGGACTCCAACCAGGATTCTTCAGATAACACAGTATCTGCCCCCGTATCTCAGATGACCAGCGCTCTTACAGACCAACAAGCTGACTTCCATCCTTCTGTTCCTGAAGACACTCTTCCAAATCAGGTGCACAGCATTCCTGTGCACACGACAACCTCTGAGCCGCCAAACGCTCTGGACTTTAAAGCTCTCAGCGAAGCGATTTCTCAATTCAAGGCTTCCAAGAAGCTGACAAAGACTTCTGAAACTTCATTTCAGGTGGACCCTCACCAGAGCTTCCTCGCTCACAGTGCTCTGCCAGATTCCTATTGTCTGAGCTCTCCAGAAATCCACAGTCTGCCACAGACGCCAGCCTCGTACAGCTCAAATCAAATGAAGTCTGCGAACACTGAGACGAGCTCCTCTGCTGCATCTCACGCTGAAGCCGGCTGTGAAGCAGACCAGCGAGGAGAAACAGCTGGCAGAATCAAACCAGCCTCGTCTACGCTTGTGGCAATCCCACCAGCCGAGATATCAGACAATCCCGGAGATTGGGAGCAACCCAACACTAATGCTGAGAGCGGACACGAGCTGAGCAGCGCTCCAGAGACCTCAGCAGCGGACACCGCTCAAGCCTCCACCGCTTCAGTCAAGAACACATACACAAGCGGCGGGTTCCTTCCCAGGCCCAGCACTTCCTCTTACGGCATGGGTAGTTTTTATCCAGCGCTGCAGCAGCAGGGTGGCTTGATGCCAGCTCCACGAGCCTCCATGGGTCTGAGCTACCCTAGATTTGTATCTAACAGCGGTGCTGTTGGACTCAGACATCCTCTGGTGAACTGCACGCTCTCCAACAACATAGGAGTCATCCGAGCTCCAGTGCTGGGAGGATTCTTGCCCGCTCAAAACGTGCAGATGTCCTGGAACAACCTGGCCCAGCATTCAGCGGCGGGCCTGTGGGGGGCTCGTTATGGCATGGACGTGCAGCAGATGCACCGGGCCACCTTCATCCAGAACTGGCAAGGCAAACCTTCATTCCAGGGAGACGCTTATCGTCCCAGTCGGGGAGGATTTGGTGGCTGGTAAACTGGGCTGAACACTTTCAGGGTTGAAGCTGAACGTCTCGGTTTGTCTGTTGTATGATAGCGATGGCGCAGTTCCAGGTTTCCACATGTACATGTAAAAAAGAAAACACATTGATTTCCTTTTTTCAGAGTGTTATATTTGTATTTGGCATGTTGGTTGGGTTGAAAAGGTTCTTTTTTTACCCCCTTATGTAAAAAAGCTCAAGGCCTTGGTTTTATTATTATTTTTATAAAGCCGTAACAAACATTAAACAACTTTAAACCCAGGCCGTGTGTCCATGTTGCTGAAATGTTGTCAGAGTTATAAAACCTAGGAAAACAACACGAGGACTGATTTGTTTCAGCAAAGAGACAGAGCATCTGTGAAGTGTGGAGAGCGCTTCAGTTTCTGTCACAGCCTTATTCCAACATGGAGTGAATTCCTTTATTTCCTCAACATTCTACACACAATCCCCCATAATGAGCATGTGGAGAAGAGAGTTTTAGAAATTGCAGCAGATTTATTAAACATAAGCAGCTGTAAGATCACCTGAACATCAGTGTTCACAGGCTTTGCTCAAGACTCTGTTGATGCTCCTTTGTCAGTGATTACAGCCTCGAGTCTTTCTGAATATGATGCTCGAGCTCTGCACCGCTGTCTTTCAAGAGTTCCCACTTAGATATGCTTGGCACTTACAGCAGGTTTGGCATGCTGTCCCGGGAGAGAACCCTGAGCTCGGAGATATTTGAGCCCAGGGCTCCCGCCCGGTCTAGAAGCATATCAGGAGAACCGAGATCAGGTAGGTCTCGATCGCTCCCCAAAAAATGCCTCTAGCTCGGGACAGCAGCCGAGTATTTCAAAGAATTTCCCCCAAAAAGCTAGAAAGTTTTCACTATATCCGGCTGCTGGATATAGTAATTAAGGAATGAAGAAAGAGTAGGGGGCTCCAGTTGGAGCAAAGTTTAAAACTGACTCCTGTGGAAGCCAGAGCGGGGGAGGGGGTTGGGTGGAGACTAGTGAAGGGGGGCCATAAGGGGTGGGCGGGGTTGGCTCATTAAGAGTCAGAAATATGCTTGAGGAACACTCCAAACAGAGATAGAGCAGGGAAGTGGCAGCGCTATATATATGTATATATGAGAGAGTATATAAATATATATGTATATATGAGAGAGTATTTAATATATATATAATGG